TAAAAGATTGCTTCAAACAAAACCTTTTACTACATTTTATCCCTTGAATTTACATAATGTATTTATAAATATATATAAAGATGAAAATTAAGAAACCACACAGAAAAATACTTTGAATGATTAGATGTATAATACAAGCAAGGATGTACCATGTATGTAAAACATGAAACATTTCTTGGTCAGGAATTATTTCATTGGTGTAAGGAAGAGTGTCAAACATTACCCCAACCAGATTAAAATGTAATTGGGAAATATTTAACAAAATAAAAATACGAAAGAACAAAATACTGTTAATATGTGGTTTTCTAAGTCAATATGTGGCAGGCAGAGATCTTTATGTACATATAGGTTAATGGCTACTGTTTGTATTTGAGTTTGACAGGACTAGTGTAGGGAACTCCCCATGAGTAAACTCCCAGTATGAATGCAGATTGCTAACTGCTTTGCAATTTATGGCCTTACAAAGTTGCCTGGGGCACTGATAAATTGAGTGACTTGCCCAAGGTCACATAGCTAGAGACTGGACTGAACCCAGGTCTTCCTGACTCCCAAGACCAGATTTCCACTCACTAAATTCCACTAGCTATTTCTGAGAACAATTTTGTTTTTTAAATTGAAGTGTTTCTAGTTATGAAAGTTTATGTACATACAGTAGTTTGGGTCTGGGTTTTTTTTTTTTGCTTTGTTGTGGGTAGGGCTTGCTTATGTATTTGTTTCTGTTGACATTTACTCAGTTTATAAACTAAGGCACTTGATCACCCAAAGGGCAAAAGAAAAGGCATGACCAGGCTGGAATCACTCAGGGTAAAGACCAGGCAACAATGTCAACAGAGAAGAAAGGATAAGTAACTCACAAGGCAAGAGTAATGGATCAAAAAAGGTCAACCAGAATGGTATTCATGCTATGTTCGGGCAACATAAGGAGGGTCCCCGCCTCAATAGGCAGATGTTCCTCTCCACCAGGAGATTTTACAGTAGAAAATTTGATTTGAATACAATGGATAGACATGAATCGATTTCAAACTGCATTGTTGGAGGTGACAGTCACATAAACTAGGAGGTCCATTGGAATTTGAATACTAAGTTTAAAATAAATTTTTAAGAATTTTAATGAGCTTTTCTGGACCAATTACCACCTTACTGCAATTGCCACATAAAAGTTTGATTTAAAAAAAACATATAGAGGCGGTAGAAAATATTTGAAAGTGTACAAAGACAAAATGTCCTCAAAATGCTGTTTTATTCATGATAGCATCAGCACTGCAGAGTGTAAAAACAGAACATTGCAGTCTGAAGTCTATAACCATAAAGAAGATAAAAGTTACTTCAATACAAGTTTACTAACAGTGTTTTCCACTGTGGTATCCAAAGACTACCTAAATTTCCATAGGTTTTGAGAAAATATCAGTTAATCAGCAAGCACTTATTAAGTGCCTGCCTTTCAAAGGTGATTCAGTTTCTCTTCTCAAACAGTTTAATCAAACTAGAGAGTTGTAACAGGTTCACAGGGATAGAATTTGGACCTGTGATTTCTTATAGGGAACCTCTGGATAACAAAGGCTCTCTACCAAGGCAGGTTAGCACCTTCTCAACAACTTAGCCTCAGAGACTCATTTGGAGAAGGAAGAGGTTAAATAGTTCATTGACAGTCATGTAACCAGGCTTTGATGTATCAGAGACAAGACTTGATCCACATCTTTCTAGCTCAGAGACTGGCTCACTGTCCTGTACACCATGCTATCCACCACACCAGAGACAGCTCATGGCCTCCTAGATGATAAGAGGCCTGGACCTAGAGTCAGGAAGACCTGAGTTCCAATCAAGCCTCAGACACTTAGTAGCTGTGTGATCCCAGACATGTCACTTTGCTTCAGTTTCCTCTACTTTAAAATGAAGATAATAATAGCGCCTACCTCCCAAGGCTGTTGTGAGAATCAAATGAAATAATATTTATAGAAAGTACCTGGCACATAGTAGGGATTATAGAAATGCTTATTTCCTCCTTTCTATGCTGTCTCTCCAAATATAGTATACAGTTGAGACACAGTGATTTGGAAGGAAAGAGGGGCAAAGGGGAGAAGGACCCACTACTAACTGGAAAATCAGTGAAGACCTATTGAAGGAAGAGGGTAGAACTGAAACTGAGCCTGGTGTACAGTCTCTGAAACTGCCCCTGTCCCCAAAGGTATGTAAACCTAATTTGGAGCATTCTCCATTTAAAAAAAAAGATCATATTATCAAGAACAGTTACTTTGCTGTTGGAGTTGAAAAGTTTTTCTCAATTCCTGTTCAGAAACACATGTATAAATAACATGGTTTATTGGTTTGTCTTCTTATAATATTGTCTGCACAATTAATTTTCTCCAGACAGAAAATAATTAGAAATTATCACAATACCAAGGCCCTGCAATGGCCCTGCACATACTATATGCTTAATAAAGGTGTGTTGAATTGATTTGAATTCCATTGAAAACTAAAATATTAAAACATACTGCAAAGCCAATCATTAAAGTTCAAAATTTGTTTTGAACAGTAAACAAATAGTCCTTGCTGGGACTGAATATAACTTGTTGAAATAAAAGTTAAAGTGTTTTCATTAGGGAATTTCTCTGGCTCACGCTAAATAACAAATAAAACTAAGCTGCTAAGCTAAGTGGTCCTTGTATCACACAACTAAAGGAACTACCGTACCATAAAATACTGAAGATGTATACGGTGGAAGTCAAAACCCTGCCTTCCCACCACATGTTGGCAAACATTTTACACACTCGCGCGCGCGCGCGCGCACACACACACACACACACACACACACAATCTTGGCATTTTGATCCCGGACTAAAAGTTTTGAAATCCAGAAAAAACTACACTCATCTGCATGAAACTGGTATTTCCCAAAAGGCTGCTAAGAAAGAACTAGTTTCAGGCCATGCCCATTGCCATACATACACACCAATCAACACGTCCACTATTTATCTGCAGCTGCAATAACTCTGTCTTTGGCGCCCAAAATATTTGTGCTATAAATTTAATAGTATTATCAATATTCAGTCCTTGAGAATCACGTCGATGACGACGATTACAACTACAAGACAGTGCATAGGTCCTGAGGTGAGGTCACCATACCCATAGAAAGTCCTGACTCAAACTCTTTTCAACTCTCTCCTTGGAACTCTCCCTGCACCTCCGCCCAACCTCTCCTCCCTCCAGGGTCCCTAAGCAAGAGTGAGGCCCCCGGCAAAATTCTTCCAAAGAGGTGCAGGCAGCTGGCCGCCTCCAGGCTCTAGGCTGCTTGGCCCCTCAATGACAATCAGGAAGGTCTCTGCTTCGGCCACAACACTAGGGTAAAGTTACCAGCGAAAGCAAAAGCAAAAAAGAAAAAAAAAAAACCCCGACCCATTTCCAATTGGATGAGGATCATTCCGAGTTGGGGAGGCACTGGGGAGGGGAGAGCTGGCACCCAAGCCAATGAAATGTACAAGTACCAACCCCCAGCTCCCTTTCTTTCTAACTTCCCCCTCCCCCATCACAAAGCCTCAAGAGAGGGCGGGGAACAGGCCGGCTTGGGAGAGGCTGCTGCGACCAGCACAGTGCAGAAGTCACAGTGTGCTGGGCCGTCCACCGCACAAGAACCCAACTGAAGGCCCCCGGGACTTCTTAGTAAAAGTCTTGGTTAGTTACAGGCTGTCCTAACCCCCAATCCGCCAGCTGCCCCACCCACCCACTCCCTCCACTCTCGCAGTGTCACAGGAGCCATTTCTTTCTTTCTTTCTTTCTTTTTTTTTTTAATTTTCTGCGAAGCATACGTGCATTTCAACTCCTGGCTTTAAAAGATATTTATTGTTCTTGATAATAATACACCTGATTCACTTCGTTGGAGTCTTCCAACTTTCTGAAAAAGATTTCCATTTGTAAAAGCAGGAAGGACTTTCACGAAAAAATAAATATATTGAATAAAAAGAGCAAACACAAGCACCTGATTTTTTAAGGTCCCCTGACCTATAGTCAAAAAGTAGCAGGGACCTAAGTTGGGCAGCAGGTTTATGTGTTAGGAGTTGGGCCGCAGGGACATTTGGGGTTTGGGGGCAGGGGGATGCTCTACTTTAGTGATTTAGTGTTGACAAGACGTCCAGAGGAATAGGGGTCAATGCCACCAGACACTGCTGGGAAGCAGGTTCTCGTCCGGAATCAATGCCTCCCGCTTCTGAAAGGCCCTTTTCCCAGGGCACAAAGCAGACAGGGAAATCATAATGGGAATTGGGGCGGGGGCGAGAAGGGGGGGAGGAGGTGGAGAGAAGGAGATTTAGAGGTGGGGGAGGAGATGGCGCCAGCCCGTAGTACCCCCTGGGGGAAGGCTGGGCTCCCCAAACTGCTCTCAGCTTCGGAGTGCGACACGCACGCACTCACGCACGCGGGCTCACGCGCACAATGCACACACGTACACACAAACACACACACACACATTCGGGGTGAGGGGAAGATGGCCGTTTGTGCTTCAATATAAAAGCTCTTTGTTGCTCTCACACAAAAGCGAAGAACCTCTTTTTGTGGCAGGGCCTTCAGGAAAATCGAGGAACTTCGACTGAACTTTCAAAGGGAAGAAGGCCCCGCAAAAAGAGTTTGCGGGGAGGGGGCGGGGAGAGTTTATCAAATCGGGGAAAGCACCACTGTCCCACCGCTAAAAACCCTGCAAATGTCTAATTATTTTCAAGGGAATGGAAAGTATTCATTTTTAGAGGAAAGTAAAAAACTAGTTTCATGAGCAAGGCCCAAAGGGGCTCTTCAACCTTCCTATTCTTGTGGCTTTTTTCTTTTTTTTAATCCTTTTCCCTCGTCTGGGAAGAAACACAATCCGAAATGGTCCGGATGCACACAAGAGGGGGGAAAAAATCAAACACAACAACATACAATAAAAGCCCCAAACGACAAACCAGTTGCCATCAGCCCAGAGTAGTAGGAGCAGCGGCGGCGGCGGCGGCAACAGCAGCGTGTGATCCACTTACTTGTCCGACTCTTGTGACATGTTTGATCCAATGAACTCTCTCCCCTTTTCCTGGTGCCTCAGTCTCTGGCGAAACTGGACTTTCAAGTCTGTGCAGGTGAAGGTGTGTGCGAGCGCCCGAGATGGCAGAACAAGAGGTACAGGTAATTCTGCTTTTCCGTTCCCCCTCAACCACTCTCCCTCGCTCGCTCCCTCACCTAGCCGGAAAGGTGTGATAAGGAGCGGGCCCCCCTCACATGTGGCAAGAGCTCGGAGTCGGCGGGGTGCTGCTGGCTTCTCCTCGCTGGTGGCAAAGGGGAGGCACAGAGCGGGCGAAAAGTGGCGGACTTGGGCGGCCACAGGTAACTTTCTCGCTAGGAGCCGAATTCTTTCACTAAAGGGTACAAGCCTGAGGGACGAGCTGCGCGCTGATTGGCTGCAGAGAACCCTCAGGTGAGCTACCATTGGCAGATAGGCGCTCAGGTAAGGCCCCTCTCCAAGAGCAGGTAACTCTCCAAAGTTTACCTGAGCAGTAACAGCAGCAGTAGCCGCAGCCAGGGCGGCAGGGGCAGCTCCGGGCTCTGGAGCAACCTCAGGAAGACCTGATTGGGTCGGGGCGTTTCAAGTCTCCTTCATGCTACATTTCCCTTGTTCCTTAAGGCCGTGGAAGAAAACAGCCAGCACCTGCGGACTCGTAGAATTGTCGGTCAAACTAAAGACAAAGAAAGTTAATAATACTGAATTCAGGTGTCCTAGGCCAGCTCTGATCAAATGAGCAGAATTCACAAGAGAGTTTGAGGCCACATTACGAGGAGCTGGTTGACAAGGGCAGAAAACAAATAGTTACTTTATGCTTTCAAAAAAAAGACGAAAGAAAACTAGACAAAAAGGAATATTAACTTTATGCACAACATTGAGAGTCTTGAAGTGCAGAAGAGACCAAAAAGTGTGCATCATTTTACTCTTGGGTTTTGGGCGGTTTGGGGTGGAGTGGAAAAATTCTGTTAAATAGAAAATATTATGGGCCCCTGGGTGACAACTACGTTGAAGACTTGGATTCCAGAGCAGCAAACCACTACTAGATCTGTGTTCCCCACAGCCCCTCCACAGTACCCCAGCACCCCAGCACCTTGTATTCATTTGATGTTTCCCAGGGAGGCATCAACATTTACATTGTAATTCAATAGAAGCAGCCACTACAAAGGTGCTTTATCCCTCCAGCTTAGTAAAGTTGCTATGGTAACAGTTAAGGATGAAACTGCATTTTTCATAGCTAGATTTCTAGAAGTGGGAAACAACATTGCACAGCAAATATTTAGTGCACAATTATATGTTGCTAAAGTGTGACACTTATCACTTGGACTTGTTTGTGGGTGATATGGGAGATCTAGCAGGAAAAACCTAGCCTAAAAACGTGGAACATCTCTAAGTATGTATGACAAGCACTAGAAAATTCATCATTTTATTTCAGACTGGAGTCAAAGCTTATGTAAGAGATTATGATTTTATTTTATCCTTCTGGATCAAATACTCCTTGGAAAATACATTATGGAAATTAAGATTTCACTATTACTATCTGGCACACTTCCATCCTATGAAGAAATAAAGATTTACAAACAACACATTCCGAATACTTGAACTAAATTGTTTATGTTAGACATACTGATGCACCCAAACAAGACTTTTTTACAGACAAAGATTTTATTTCAGTAAACTATGATAGATGGTCAAGTTTCTTTTCCCTTTCTGCCCCTGATGTTTCTGGCCTGCTAACCATTCTGTTAATTGTCAGGAGATATATTGCATTCCTTACCTAATAAACATTGTTTGCAGCCAGCCCTTCATGATCTGAATAAATGGAGGAAAGCCAGAATGGCTTGTTGAAATTGAAAATCCAAAAACTTAATTTTATCCAATAAATTAAATTTTCTCCATTACTCAATAATTTGAGAGTTACTAGTAAGTACCAAAGTTAAGTTTTAATTAGATTTATGTCTATATTAGATAGTCGATAGGTAGGCAACAATAGCAAACCATTAACAAATCTGTATAATCTCCAAACTATAATTGGCCTCTAAATAATCAAGAATTCGAGGTTATATTCAGTCAGGTTTCATTTCTGAGAATTTTGCAATTGTCTGGAGGTGATTCAGGGGCAGTTAAGTGGCACAGTGGATAGAGCTCCCACCTTGGGGTCAGGAGGACCTGAGTTCAAATGTGGCCTCAGACACTTCACACTTACTAGCTGTGTGATCCTGGGCAAGTCACTGAACCCCAATTGCCTCACCAAGAAGCAAAAAAAAAAAGTGATTCCCAACTTATCCCAAGGAAGTGGGGGAGGGGAGAGAGGTACTTAGAAGAAAAAAAAGTAGCTACTTTTTTTTTTGGTCTAGGCAATAGGGTTAAATGACTTGCCCAGGGTCACACAGCTAGTAAGTGTTATATCTGAAGCCACATTTGAACTCAGGTCGTCCTGAATCCAGGGCTGGTGCTCTATCCACTGCACCACTCAGCTGCCCCATGCTACTTACTCTTAATCTGATACACTTTAAATGAAGCAGATTTGTTGCTGTGAGATGCATCATCTGAAGTTGGGAATGGAGGAATGGAGGAATGGATGGATGCTACGGCAATGCATTGCAAACATTGATAAGGTCTGATTGAAAAAGTAAAATTTAAGTTTGCTGTTCAGACATGTCATTCACAACAAATAAGTCAACAGCCTGTGGTGAGAATATATCCCTAAGAATGACTAGAGATTGAATGATGTTTCACTATGTACGGAAGCAGGTCAACATAACATCATCATTAAATTTACTGTGAAGTAGTTATTCTTCACTTAACAGAAGAGAGGCAATACTATTTTGCAAAGTATGCTATAAAATAAATTTATAGAAAATGGATCCTATTTTCTCATCAACTTCAGTCATAAAATCAGAGATAGGTTCCATGAAAAAATATATTGGAAATGACACTTAAGACTATAGCAAACCAAACCTTTGAAGATTAAGGGGGGAAAAAATGTTCTAATAAAACATTCAGAAAAACAACAGTACTCAAAATACCGACAGCGAAATAAACCACAAAATTTAAAAAAAAAATAATAAAAAGAGTGGGACTCAGAGAACTGAGTTCTAATCCCAGTTCTGCTTATTACTTTGTTCCATGATCAACTACAATAAATGTTATCTCTCATAACTGAAATCTCTATGTCTGTAAAATGAGGGAAGGAGGGCTAAAATCGATAAGCTGTCTAAGGTCTATTCCAGCTTTCACAGTCTATAAATGTATAGCAATTAGTGTAAATACAAAACTTTGTGGTTGTTAAATACATGAGATCTGAGGAAATCACTAAGAAATAGTAGGGAAAGAAAAGAGAGTCCTTGACAGAACCTTGGAGGACACCCACTGTGAGAGGAATGAAGATTCAGCAAAAGGGACAAAGATTTTCATCCATGTCACATCCACTGGGAGTGTACCCAAAGATTATTTCTAAGCTCTTTTCTATTTTCTCTCTGTACCCTCTTCATTGGACAACTAAGGTGGCAAATGGATAGAGCACTCTGCCTGGAGTCAGAAAAGTCTGAATTCAAATCCTGCTTCAGATATTTACTAGCTCTATGACCCTAGGAAAGTCACTTAACCTTGTTTGCCTCAGTTTCCTCATCTGTACAATGAGCTGGAGAAGGAAATGGCAAACCATTCTAGTATCTTTGCCAAGAACACCCCAAATAGGGTCACAAAGAGTCAGACATAACTGAACAACAACTCCCTCATTTGGTGATCTCATCAGTTCCAATGGGTTTAGTTATGATCTCTATGCAAATGACTTTCCGGATCTACATATGAAGCCCTAGACTCTTTGCTGGATTCCAGGCCCACATCACAAACTGCCTACTGGACATTTCAAACCTGATGTCCCATAGGCATCTCAGACTCAATGAGTACAAAACAATTCACTATCCTTTTCCTCAAACCTACTTTTTCAAAACTTTTATTGCAAGAGCATTATTATCCTTCCAGTCATCCAGGTACCAAACCTTGGCATCATCCTCAAGAGCTCACTCTGACTCAACCTACATAGCCGATTAGCTAACAAAGCTTGCTTCTATCTCCACAACATCTTTCTCAAATAGGTCCCCTTCCTTCCTTATACAGCCTCACCCTAGTTCATTCTTTCATCATCTTTTACCTTAACTATTTCAAGAGCTTCCTAATTGGTCTACCTACCTCAAATACCTTCTCACGTCATTTGATCCTTCACACAGTTGCCAAAGTGATTTTTTCAAAAGTTCAGGTCTGACCATGTAACCCCCTACTCATTAGACTCCTATTACTTCTTATTGGCCTGAACAACATTCCTCATTACCTCTATGATCAAACAGAAATATAAATGCCTTTCTTTGGCCTTTAAAACTCTTTACAATCTGGTCCTATCTATCCTCCCCACCTTATACATCATTTCCGTCCATGTATTCTATAGTCCAGCCATACTGTTTCTACTTATTGTACCTCACACACAATGCCTCATTTACCATCTCTGGGCTTTTGCACACTCCCCATGTCTGGAATGATGTCCATCTTCATTTCTACCTTTTACAATCTCTGGCTTCCTTCAAGACTCAGCTTAAGCCACCTTCTGTTGGAGGCCTCCTAATTGCTAGGTTGTTTTTTTTTTTTACTTCTAAGATTGCAACATATCTACTTTGTGTGTATCTTATCTACATACACGTTTTTGTTCAATTGTATCTGACTCTTCCCATTTGGAGTTTTCTTGTCAAAGATACTGGTGGTTTGCCATTTCCTTCTCTAGCTCATTGTATAGATGAGGAAACTGAGGCAAACAGGTTCACACAGTTAGTGTCTGAGGTAAGATTTGAACTCAGGAAGAGGAGTCTTCCTGACTCCCCAGCTAGCCCTCTATTCGCTGAGCCACCTAGCTACCCTATGTACATGTTATCACTTACATTAGAATATAAGTTCCTAGTGGCAGAATGTTTTTTTTTTCTTTCTGGCCCTAATACAATGCCTGATATCTTGTAAGCCCTGGATTAATTGTTGTCGATTAATTGATAGATTAATATTGTGGCTAACTTGGTCATTAGTTTCATGTAATTTTTGTACTTCTAACTTATATTTAATACATGAGTTTCAAGTTTCATTTCTTGAATTTTCTGATTCTTCTTGACATCTTCACCCATTAACACTTGAGGATAAGAGGCAAGACAAGATTTCTTTAGGAAGTAGCACATAGAGGAATGAAATTCCAATTCATACTTGGAAATTGAGGCTTATTGTACAAACATAATCTTATAGAGTCATCAATTTCAAACTAGAACCTTAGATATCATTTAACCCAGCCCTCTCATTTTACAAATAAGGAAACTGAGACCCATAGAGGTTAAT